CCAGGTTTAATTCCCTGGCGAAGGGAATGGCTACCCACTCCAGTATTCTTGCCTGGAGAATTCCATGAACAGAGGAGCCTGGCAGGCTATAGTCCATGGGGTCGCAAAGAGTTGGATAGGACTCAACAATTAACAGTTCCACTTTTCACAAAAATTCAGTTGGGTCTGCAAGTAATTATCTACTTCTTACATTTGAGGAAGAAAGCACGAAGAAGTTAAGTCACTTGCAGCTAGTCATGAATGATCTAAGACCCACATTAGACAGTATTTGCCCGGAATACTGGAATGTGTTGATTGAAAGGTTCTTCCTGGCCAAATTACCCACGCATGCTTTGATCCCTCCAGGTTCCCGTGGCATTGTTCCTTTCTCTTCTTTCTCTTCTCTTCGCTTCCCATTTCTCTCTTTCCCCTTCATTTCTGGACCGAATGTTAACGTCACATCCTTGCTCTCCATGGTTGTGTTCCCTCCAGTCCAGGACCCTCTCCTCAGACTTTCCAGAGGACAACACCTACTTCTCTAAGAAGCACAGACCCCTGGAAAGTCTTTTTAATGCTTTTTCTAAACACCAGTAATAAAGAGACAGAACATAGAGACCTCTTCCTAGGGCCTTTCCTCCTCATCACCTTCTCTTTCCTCTCTTAAATCCTGTTGAGAAAAAGTTATTATACCTGGTGACTCAAATGGTGAAGAATCCACCTTCAGTGCGGGAGACCTAGGTTTGATCCCTGGGTTGGGAGGATCCCCTGGAGGAGGGCATGACAATGCACTCCAATGTTCTTGTCTGGAGAATTCCATGGACAGAGGAGCCTGGAGGGCTACAGTCCCTGGGTCACAAAGAGTTGGACATGACTGAGTGTCTAAGCACACACAGAGAGATCCTGGAGAGGGAGGGGAAATTATTTTTCCTTCTACCTCTCTAGGTTCTCCAGCTGAAGCCCCATTGATGGGACTGACAACAGACAGGGCAACAAGAGAAAAACAAACCAGAAATTTTTTTAGCACATGCATCCTGCATTCACGTGACATCCAGTGATGAGTCACTCAAAGGGATGGTTAGACTGGGCTCTCTACACCCAACTTAGTCAAGGCAGGGGTAGGGGTGATAAGGGGGGAAAAGGGCACTTATGTAAAAGCAAATGACTTTCTGGAAAATAAATGTGCCCTTAGCAGAGCAGGGAGGAGAAATGATCATTTGTGCAGGCGTCTGGGCGGGGCACCTGAAGAGACTGCAGAGTTGCCCAGGGAGGGGAATTATGACAGTTTCTTCTTTGAGGGAGGTTATACTTTTAGACAGAGAAGAGGCTTCAGGATCTCAAATGCCTTCAGCTCAAAATCACTTCTGTGCCAAATGGCCTATTTTGGGATGACCAGTCCTGATCCTCTTTACCGTGCATATGTTCAGGAAGAAGCTTCTGTCCGATAACCCCGATGTGCCGCGGTGTCTCTGCATGAGGAACAGTGCTGGTAAGGAATCCCTTGGCCACTGGGAGAGAGAAAGGCTCACCTCTGGCATTTATCTCTCATTCTTCGTCCCCTCCGAGGCTGCTATCACCAGTCCTACCTGGAGGGCGCCCAGGCTGAAAAGGTTTTGGGTGAGAGATGAGGTGTCAGGCTTCACAAAAAGGCAAGAGAAGAGAGATGCTAAGAAATTGTTCATGGCTTAGGTGGGCCCCACCCGATCACTGGCCATTCCTAGATCTGTATGTTCCTCTGTACAGGTACATTCTCAGCCCTTCTATTAAGGATCTCACAAACCAGACAAATCTAACCATTCATTGCCTTGAAAATATTTAACCTTCTCACTTATTGAAGTTTGTGGGAGGTAAATTGAAATTGTTGATTTCAGTGGAAGCAGATCACAATTACACTTTATTCTGCAGACAAGAGTTGCTCAAGCCTTGGGACTGGATGCAGCTTTAGCATTTTTACATTGAAAAGTGCTAGTAGAAGTGCAATGTGATATAAGGCAAGTTTATTTGAATTTTTGTTTTAAAAAAGAAACTTTCTCTGTGTCGCCCTTTGCCCCCTTCCTTTTGCTTCCAATATCTCTGTGTGAGATATGAACCACTTCCAAACATGTTAAACTTGAAGCCCTACTTAGTTTCTCAGGCTCATTACCAAGGATTTAAAACCTCTCTATTCATTCGACAACAATGGTTTCCATGGCAATTACTGCAACACATGACATTCCCTGCAGCTCTGCTTAAAAATGCACCAGCAGAAATGGCTACACACCAACTCAGTCCTTAGCAAAGGCTAGACTAGGCGGATTTTCTTCTCACTGATGCTGGCCTTGAGAAATTAATAATAATAATGATAATAATAATAAGTCAATTGATCATTTTGATTTCTTTGTACAATATTGATTTTCTCCTTTTATTTCCACCCATCACACCTGTGAAGACATAATTTCTTGCAGCAAATCATTTGAATTGCGTTTGTATAAAGGTGGCTGGGGTGAAGACAAAGTACTGACCATAATTCCCATCATCCCATTACCCCTTTTCATCTCTTTCTGACTCTACATTCATTTTCTGTAGCCCTTTCCCCTTCTAAGAGAGACATAAATTCTGAAAGAATAAGTAGAGTGCCAAAGCAAAAACCCAGACGGAGCAGAGAATCACCTTCTACACAATCTGTCTGCCCTTCCTGCCTGCCACCAAGGAGTCAAACAAAAGGTGCACTTAAAATTCACCCACAAGAAATAGCTCATCCAGTGAATACACTCGTCAGTGAGGATACCTTTCATTGAGCACCGGTGATGTGCAGGTACCGTGGCAAGAGCTTTGCATTAATTACTTCATCACCATCCTGTGAGATCTGTGTTTTCAGCTCTGTACAAATTAAGAAATGCATGCTCAGAGAGAAAGAAATTTGTTTGAGATCATGCAGCCAGATGAGTCAGAACTGTGATTTTTTTTAACCCAAATTGACCTGGCTCCAGAGCCCATGCTCTTAAATTAACTGGTAAAAAGATTCATTGTCTCACTCAGGTTTGAGAGAAGATAAGAGTGGGAAAAGGACAGTCCAGAGGTCCAAGCTGCTACCTGAGCTCTTGGACAGACTCCTGCACAGTGGCTGCGACGATTCTAAACAAGTCTCTGCAGTCTTATCCCCTCATTTTCTTGGGAAATGTTATAATAATGGTGATGTTGACCTGCTTCCCTGGGTTATGTAACAAGGGACTGTGAAATAAAAAACAGGGGAGAGTTTGGAAATGCTAAGCTGTAGTGATGGTGATCATAAACCCACAGGGAGAGACATATGCAAAGGAAAGACAGAGGGAAAACACACAGAACAAGAAAGCTTTAAAACAAATGGGAAGAGGGGCTTGGCCCAGGAAAAATGAAAAATATAATCCAGTTACCCTCATTCTGTCAAGCCCTAAGCAGATGTGTTGGACAAGAAATACAGCTCCTGATTCTAGCTTCTGGAAGCTTCTGGAAGACATGACTCTAGAGGAGACTACCTGGGTCATTCCTGACTATTTTCAGCCCAGAAATACATAAGGCTCTGGATTTTGTGCTTGTGTGTTCAGTTCTTCACAAGGAAGGATTGTGGACATAGAGGTTTCCTTTTAATAAGCATTGTAGTGATGCAAATATCAGTTTTTTTTTCTGCTTGGGAGCCCATTTATGTAACCGTTAAATAAGGAGCTACATTAGCTTCATATTAAGGTAATAGCTATGCTCATCTAATTTTGCATTTACTTTACTCAAGCTAAGTCCTTAATGATGGATGATACCTTTAATTAAAGGTTGGCAATTAATGAAGTGGTTGAGGTTACCATGCTTGACTTTATGTTTATTTAGCAGAAATGAAACATGGAGGACCTTTGCATCATCCTCTCTTTTCCTACACTTTAGAAGCTATTTAAAGGAAAACTTTGGAATAATATTCATCCATGTATTTTTGTGAAAAGCATTACTGAGTAAAAAAATAATGGGATTTTATTTTAAGACTAGAGAGTCATGTAATACTTCCAACAAACAGATGAAGAAAAGTGCGCTGACTTTAAAATTCAGTACAGTTGGTCTGAATCCCCAGTTGCCATTTACAGATCAATTAAACTTTGGCAGAGGTCACCAGGTGGGCTCCGCAAGGGTGCTGACTCTAAAACAGAGATGGAATATGGCAGATTTATCTGGGAGTGCCCTTGGGATGTACATCAAGGGAAAGGAGAGAAGGCAAGAGCTAGAAGTAGGATGGAACAGAGAGAGAAGCTGAGATTTCCCACAGTCTCAGCTGGCTCTCTAAGAGTTTTCAGCTTGGTCTCTAAGAAGCCCTGAAGCTGGGGTGACCCTTCATAATGGTCCTGCGTTTAAGTGAGGGACCAGGCCCTTGTCATTCCCACACTGATTATTCATTGGATGGAGTCCACCCAGGAAGAGGCCATGACTCTGGGCAATGGGATTCCTTTCAGCAGAGGCGCAAGCAATGATCCACCTGCCAGAAGCACCCTCAACATCTGGGGAAATACATTCTGGAAATTGGATATGGACAGCACATCACAACATCTGAAATGATACACTGTACCCATCCATCCATCCATTTATTCAACAGGTAGTTATGGACCTGCTGCCATCTACAATTAGGGTACCCAGTGATTAAGTGACCACCAAACCAGACCAGGCCCTTACCCTCCTGAAACTTTCACCCCAGAAGAGTTTGGACTGAAGGAAGGGGTTGTATCGAAGGAAAACAAACAAATGGAATGATTACAGAGTGACACTACTATAAAGAAAATAGAGTGGTAAGTTAGGGATTCTTGAGAGCTGAGGCCACTTTAAATATAGCCCCTTCAAAAAGAAAAGATTGAAGAATGAATAGACAATAAGGGAGTGGAGAGAATGAGAATGAGGAATTCATTTGAAAACATTGGCCATGCGATAAAGGAAAGAGACCAGAGCTGCAGGAGGACCTGGTGTCAAAAAATGTCATTGCTTGCTTTTTGACAACGGGTTTGCTGCCAGGACACAGGTGTCATGAAAACCACCATTAAACCTAAGCCAAAATGGGAAAGGAGAAGACCCGCATGAACATCGCTGTCATTGGGCACGTAGATTCAGGAAAGACTACCACGACTGGCCATCTGGCCTATAATGTGACGGGATCGACAAGAGAACAACTGAAAAGTTCAAGAAGGAGGCTGCCGAGATGGGAAAGGGCCCCTTTCAAATATGCCGGGTCTTGGACAAGCTGAAAGCTGAATGTGAGCGTGGTATCACCACTGATATCTCCCTGTGGAAATTTGAGACCAGCAAGTACTGTGTTACCATCACTGATGCCCTAGAACACAGAGACTTCATCAAAAACATGATTACAGGCACACTTCAGGCTGACTGTGCTGTCCTGATTGTTGCTGCTGGTGTTGGTGAATTTGAAGCCGGTATCTCCAAGAACAGGCAGACCTGTGAGCATGCCCTTCTGGCTTACACTCTGGGTGTGAAACAACTCATTATTGGAGTTAACAAAATGGATTCCACTGAGCCACCCTATAGCCAGAAGAGATACGAGGAAATTGTTAAGGAAGTCAGCACCTACATTAAGAAAATTGGCTACAACCCCGACATGGTAGCATTTGTGCCAATTTCTGGCTGGAATGGTGATAATGTGCTGGAGCCAAGTGCTAACATGCCATGGTTCAAGGGATGGAAAGTCACCCGAAAGGACGGCAATGCCAGTGGAACCACCCTGCCTGAAGCTCTGGATTGCATCCTGCCACCAACTCACCCAACTGACAAACCCTTGCGTTTGCCTCTCCAGGATGTCTATAAAATTGGTGGTATTGGCCCTGTCCCTGTGGGTCATGTGGAGACTGGTGTTCTCAAACCTGGCACGGTGGTCACCTTTGCTCCAGTCAATGTAACAACTGAAGTGAAGTCTGTAGAAATGCACCATGAAGCATTGAGTGAAGCCCTTCCTGGGGACAATGTGGGCTTCAATGTCAAGAACGTGTCTGTCAAAGATGTCCGTCGATATTAGTTTTTAAAATCAGTACTTTTTAATGAAAACAACTTGACCAAAAATCTGTCACAGAATTTGAGACCCACTAAAAAAAATTTTAATGAGAAACCTGTGTCTTCTTTTGGTCAACACTGTAACTCCCTATAGTACTAGTTTGATAAGAGTTGCTCATAAGCTATTTCTGGTAAAACAATTTTCAAATTATGGGTTTGCATTTCTAGGGTGGAGCTTCAGGTTTGTTAACCTTGTGTTGAGAACTCATCTGTTTTAATAACATTTTAAGCATTGGTGCAACACTTTCTGGATTAGGACAGCTGAGCAAAGAGTAACTATGTTTTATAAGTAAGCTAGTTTGTAAAGTCAGATTCTGTAGTATAAATGCTGTTGCATATAAACTTTTGTTTATATGTTTAAATAATGTTTATATGTTTAAATAATGAGTAAATCTATGTCATTTAGTTTCCCAGTTATGAGGATGTGCGTTCACATTTATTATAAGTAGTTAATCTAAAATGTGAGGCTTAAACAGTATTGAGTACTGCCCTGCTAGAGTTAATTGTATATAGGTTCTAGGAAAAATAAAAGATACTGGAAGCTAAAAAAAAAAAGTCATTGCTATTTTCTTGAGATGTTTGCAAGGCAACTGAATAGAGAGGAAGGAAAACACGGGTCAGGAGAGAAAAGATAACTCAAGAAGCAATGTCCCAGAGCAGGAGTCAGTGAAGTAGGGCCTGAAATCCAAACTAGCATCTGTTTTCGTAAACCTTTTACATGCCACATCCGCTTGACAACTTACTGTCTACCACTGCTTTCACGCTGCAGTATCAACTTTGAGAAGTTGTGACAGGGAACTTACGCCCACAGAGCCTGGAATTTTTGCTGTCTGGGACTTTACCACAAACATCTGCTGACTTCTGGTCTAGGGGAAGGAAAAGAAAAGTACAGATTGGGATGTACAGTGATGGAGAAGAGAAGGGAGTTAGATTTTGATGGCTTCCATTTCCTCCCATGACAAATTAAATAAGAATGTGAGGAGTTGGGAGCATTTGTAAAGAGAAGTTTTGAAGTTCTTTGTTTAGTGAATTTACCATCAAAGTGTAGTAGAATTCAAAGGAGTGGTATTGATTGCTCCTTGGAGTTCTGGTCACAAATTTAAAGTAAACTCAAGTTTTAAAAGGTACTACCAGTTAAGATGTTATAATGTTTATGCTTTGCCATCACTTCCTCTCTTCCAACCCACAGCAGTGAGAAATAAAATATAAAAAGAATAAAGTAAAAAGGGTTGATTGAGCTCAGGAAGAAGATAATCCTCTCAGTTTACTCAAACAGAGCAGAAAAGTAAGACAGTATTTGCAGTTGAAGCTGTGAGGCTGCTGGTAACTGGTCTAGAATCAGGCATTGATGGTTATAAATGCATATCCCTCAGGTTAGGGGATAAAATATGTTTTATTTCAGGCTCTCTTAAAGCTGAGATCTGGGCGTATACATCACTTAGGTTTAGCAGAAGAAACAAAAAGGTTTAGCAGAAGAAACAAAATGTTCTAGAAATTTGAAGCATAGAGGAATTTAATACAAAGAAAATCACTGGGAAGGGGAAGAAGCAGCTTCTTAGGCTGGGTATCTTGGGATGACTTCTAGAACACCATGGGACCAGCCACTAGGGGGCCACAACTTTTGCAGCTTTGGGAGCTGCCCTAGGTAAGCAGCTGCTCAAAACCTGGACATCAGGAGAATGTTAACTAGAAACTGCCTCAGGAAAACACTGCCCTTGCTACCCATCAGAGACAAACAAAAGCTTCACGAAGATTGCTTCTACCTCACTTGCACTTTCCTAATCCAGCATGGATGTACTTAATTGGCAGAGCCTAAATCACATCTGAGAAAGAATTTGTAGCTTTCCGTAGAATTGACACTTTTGAACTGTGATGTTGGAGAAAATTCCAGAGTCCCTTGGACGGCAAGGAGATCCAACCAGTCCATCCTAAAGGAAATCAGTCCTGAATATTCATTGGAAGGACTGATGCTGAACCTGAAACTCCAATACTTTGGCCACCTGATGTGAAGAACTGACTCATTTGAAAAGACCATGATGCTGAGAAAGATTGAAGGCAGAAGGGAACGACAGAGAATGAGATGGCTGGATGGCATCACCGACTCAATGGACATGAGTTATTGAAGGCAGAACGGAACGACAGAGAATGAGATGGTTGGATGGCATCACCGACTCAATGGACATGAGTTTGAGTAAGCGCTGGGAGTTGGTGATAGACAGGGAAGCCTGGCATGCTGCAGTCTATGGGGTCGCAAACGGTCAGACACGACTGAACCTAACTGAACTGAACCTCTCCAGATAAAAGGAAACAGCAATGAAAGTGAAAGCGGTTCAGTTGTGTCCTAGTCCTTGTGACTCCATGGCTGTAGCCCAGTAGACTCCTCTGTCCATGGGATTCTCCAGGCAAGATTCTCGGAGTGGGTTGCCATTCCCTCCTCCAGGGAATCTTCCCGACCCAAGTATCAAGCCACCCTGGCTCACATGGTAAAATATCTGCCTGCAATGCAGGAGACTCAGGTTCAAACTTACCACAGTGACGTGTCATAACATAAATTGTTGCTGACTGGAGCCCCAGGGTCTTTCATTATAAATTAATTATGAATCTTTTGAAATAAATGGGGGAGAAAAAAGTCCTCAGGGACAGAAACTGAGTCAAATCACTTCCTGGGTCCATGAATGATCTGGTGAGCCCTGAGACACCATTGTTGTATTTACACCTGAATAGTGACATGCATAATGTATTTTTGAAAAAGAGTCCGGACCAAGGAACCACACTGCAGAGTAAGTCTTCTAAGAGTTCCTACTTGTAAGGCTTAAGTTAGATATAAAGGGAACCCAGAAAATTATTTTTTATTGGGGCAGTTTAGTGTCTACTGAGGTCCCTTGTATGTTTCTTTTCTCCCCTGGATGTCACTAAATTAAATCTTACAACTAAATTTCAGGATTCTTGGAATTTATACCTTATCTGCATTGCCTTACAATTCCATCAGTATCCAAGAGTTTTATGTAACTGTATGTCTTCTTTTTTTAAAAAAAATATTTTAACTTTATTGGAGTTGTTGTTTGGTTGTAAAGTCATGTTTGACTCTTTGTGACCCCATGGACTGTAGTGTGGTAGGCTGCACTGTACTTAACTATGTCCTGGAGTTTGCTCAAACTCATGTCTATGAGTCGATGATGCAATCCAACCATCTCATCTTCTATCACCCCCTTCTCCTCCTGCCTTCAATATTTCCCAGCATCAGGGTCTTTTCCAACGACTCGGCTCTTTACACAGTTGATTTACAATGTTTGTTAGTTTAATATGTACAGCAAAGTGACTGCTATACATATATTCATTTTTGTTAGGTTCTATTCTCATATAGGTTATCACAGAATATAGGGTAGAGTTCCCTACGCTATATAGTAGGTCCCTGGCAGTGTCTATCTTATATGTAGTAGAGTGCATGTGTTCATCCAAAGCTCCTCATTTATCCCTCCCCCTTATATCATATTACTCTTTAGGGAAGTAATCTGTACCAAACCAATATTGGATTCTCTTTATCAAGAAATCTACAGTCCAATGAAATAATAGCAGAAAATAGATCATTATGAGTACATACACTTATGTTTTTATTGCTTATATTGATAATAAATACAATATGTAAACATCCTGCAGTATACAGATAAACTCTATCTGTAACATAAGTTTAAATCTGTAAATAAGGCTCAAATTAAACAAGAAATAGAGCATTCTGATTAATCAAGTATTTTAGACTTCACCTGATTAAAAAGTTAAATAAAAATACTTATTGAGCAGGATCTCCCTGATGGTCTAGTGGTTAAGACTCTGTGCTTCCAATGCAGGGAGCACAAGTTCAATCCCTAGTTGAGAAACTAAGAGCCCTCATGCTGAGCAGTGCAGCTGAAAAATTAAAAAGAAAAAAATTATTGCACCCCTTGCACATTTAGGGTGATGATTTCAGTGTCACAAGTGATACAAAGAAGTATCAAAAAATGTCCCTAATTTCCAGAATTTTAGCTTATGTATTTTTAAATTTATAGAATATTTTATAAAAGCCATTCAATATCAAATATCTAATTGAAGTGTTACTCAGATTATTTTAAAAATTGCTCTGGATGTTCCGAGCAGAAAAGGGTTAATGTGGTCTGATCTGGTCAAAGAGAACTTTAGAGAGAGCCTGTGTTTTTAAAGAGAAATTGGAAAGTTTAAAATGGTTGACATATAAATTTGGAATATATATATATTTGGAAACACAAATGCAGAAGACATGCTCCATAGCATCAACTTCTTAGATAAAGGGTGTTTGTACAGGAATCATGGGGAAATAAGGTTACGTGGTGAAAGACCTGGATGTCAAAGACATTAACCCCCCAGTAGGTATTTGAGGCCAATAGAAGACTTTGGGGCAGATAAAGATACTATGAAAGCAAGAAAGTAGGACTAACTGATGACAAGATACAAGTAGGGTTATATAAGAAAGACATTAGAGGTTTGACATATTGTTGGTGGTATAATATAGTGCCAGGCATGAAAGGTTACACCTCTGCTCCAAAGTAAGGAAAAAAGTGAAGAATAAAGGTCTGAATAAGAAAAACATTAGGATCAACAACATATTAGTATCAACAACATTAGTATCGACATTCATACTAATTATTAGCAGTGAGATGACAACAAGAAATAAAAAACCAGAGACTCCAGAGAATCCTGCAAGATTCAATTTAGTTAGGAAAACTGAAGTATTTCCCATGAAAATAGTGAAAAACAGGAAAGAAAGCTGTTTTATCGCAAACCAAGTATTATTATAATTTTGAGGGATAATATGTACAAGCAACCCCAAAATTAGTAGCTGACAATGTGTATGTTCATGCTTTATCTCAAGCAATAGCTTTTTACTTTGTCATAATGCTAAGAAACGCTAAGCACACCTAATAACTTTTTCTAAAAAGCAACTTTGACAGTGGA